TATATATATTTATATATTTATATGTTTATATATTTATTTATATATATATAATTATTTAAATTTTTTTATATATTGTTTGTATATTTATTTGTATATATATATATATTATATATTTATTTATTTGTATATATATATATATTATATATTTATATATATTAATATGTTCATATATTTATATATATATATATATATTTATATATTTATTTGTATATTTATATATTAATATGTTTCTATATTTTTATATATTTATATATATATTTATATATTTATTAATATATAAATAAATATATAAACAAATAAATATATAAATACATAAACATATATAAATAAATATACAAATAAATATATAAAAGAATATATGAATAATTACAATATATTATAATAATACAGTATATATAAATATATAGATATATATATATAGAAATAAATATATACAAATAAATATATAATTATATTTATATATATAAATATATATATATATGTATAAATATATACATATATATATAAATATATATAAATATACAAATAAAAATATAAAAATATATGAAGTTATAATATATATATATATATATACAAATAAATATAAATAAATAAATATATGAACATATATAAATATACAAATAAATATACAAACAATATATAAAAGAAGTTAAAAAATTATATAATTAAATATATACACATATAAATATATATAAATGTATATAAATACATATACAAATAAATATATAAATAAATATACAAACAAATATACAAACAAATATATAAATGAATATATAAATATACAAATAAATATATAAATATATACAGTATACATAAAATAATATATATATAAATAAATATATAAATAAATACAATATATATATATATATATATATATATATATATATCTGTATGTATGTATATGTATATCTGTATTTTAACAACATCTCTATCAGTGCTGCATACTTTCGGATCGACGATTCGAAAAAGTCCAAAAGTGTATGTACCGTGCATGACTGGATTACACAGGCAAAGCTCCTCAGCGGAAAAAAAAAGATTTAAAATGTATGGCTTGCATAGCTCGCTGGCTCGCATGGCTCGCGCATTGGCTCGCATGACTCGCTGGCTCGCACTTTGTCACGACCCTTGTGGACCCTATGCTTAGTATGTTAGGAATGTATTCTCATTTACATATTTCCTGTTTATCATTATTGTTCTTATTTGTCTAATCGTTTTTTATTTTTATTTTCTTAAGTCTGGGCATCATACTAAGATACTGTACTACGGTTATTTTTACTACACATATTAGTTATTATATATTATATTCACTGACTTTGATAATACTTCTGACCCCTGACCTGTTTTTTCATTTTTATACTGTTTATTGCTTATGCTTTAGTCCTCTTGTCTTAATTGTATGCTTGAATAATTAACTTGTTTAGGTCTATACACCAAGTTTATGTTAACTTCACATTCACCTGAAGAAGTGCACTGTGTGCACGAAAGCTTGTGTACTGTCATAAATAAACTAGTCATAAAAGTACTGAATATCCTGAGTTATATTTTCTATTATATATTAGACTAGTACGGCTTATCTATTTTTTATTTAACTATGTCAGGTACTGTATAGTTTTTGCTCTGTATGGAGTTCTCACGGAGTCGGGTATACGTATTACTGTATATGTAGGCGTAGCCTACGCCGGCCTAGTTAATTGTTAGATCATTCCATGTGAACATATTCAAGAAATAAGATGATTTTACTATATTTCTCGCACTCATAATTGTATTGATAATGACAACTGCTATATTGAACCATTTGATTATTTTATCTGATATTGCATTGTAAGCATTCTAGGCTTAAATTTAAAGTTATTTGTGTTTGAAAATTCCTTCATCGATGATTCAGTGAAAGTCGTCGTACAGCTTAATTGAGCAGCACAGCAGGATACTACTGTTACTAGACTGTTGTTAACTATGATATTTCTCTATACTAGGACCTACATTTGACTATGAAATTATTTGTAATACAACGACTTACATATGAAAACCATAATAATAATATACTAAATTTATGATGATTAATAATGATATAATTTGTGGATGCAGCAGTGTTGATACTTCTTCTTGAACGCTAGTCGTCGTTAGACATCGCGCATTTCACTAATTTCCGCCATTCGGTGCGTTTTTGAGCAAGTGCGTGCATAGACCCGTGTGTGAAAAATCTGGTTTCCTTCTTGATGTTGGC